ATACTTCATTGTGAACATTGTTTGTTACCCAAGCTGGGGTCTGCATAGAGAGAGAAAAGCACATTCAGATGTAGAGTACATGAATGCATGAACAAGCCATTCACTCACACACAATGGCATGAATACATGCACAGACAAGGCATTCATCCACTCAGAACAAGACAAATCAAACTCTCGACATCTCTACACAAACATGCATGCAGAAAGCAACGCGGTCATGTGCTTAACTATTCAATTATATAAACTACTGTAAACAAAAAAACACAATATACACGGCCAACATCGTTTCTGAAAGGAGCAGCTGTGAGAAGGAAGCCAGAAAATGGCTGGAATGGTGAGAGGGAACGCTGGGTAACTTTGTCGCTTAGACCACGAGACTCCTTTGGTTTTCTTGAAGCTCTTGAACGGCTCGCTTTGTTTACCGAACTAGTGATTAATGCTGGTAACTAAATATTGACGATGCAAGACATCCGATGGCCCTTCACTCACCACAGACAATGCAGCAGAGCTAGTATAAGAAAACGATAACCTACACGAGTCATAAGAGGTGATTTACAATTAAAATAAACTCAAATGACTATACAGTGATATCAGTCGGCACATACACCTGATCTTTATTTACCATTTTTGTACTGGCTGATATCTCTCTTTAGTAAAGCCTATTTAAAGAGCAAGTCACCCCCAAATCAACTGTTTTATTACTGATAAACTATATAAACGAGAGCCTAATTGTGCTGTAGACACATGTAGTCAATGATATGGTCCTTTAGTGCATCTTAGTTAAAATTTAAATATTCTGCCTAAAACTGTCAGTGTTGCGCCGTCGTCAGGTAAAAACTCTGCACTTACATTTGAATTAAAATCTGTCACCGCTATTGGCTAAGAGTTACACTATGACGTTAGCTAGTACGTTATGATGTAATAATGCTGTTGTGAGCCTGTTTGTGTGTATTTGTTAGCCGCTCTGCCCTCTCGGTCTGCCAGGCAACAGCATTTGTTGCATTTTTCAAACATGAAGTGGGAGTGAAGTAAGTTTCTTGTAGGGGGTGACTTGTGTTTTAAAGTCAGGCACATCCACAGATACCCAGATAGAAAGTGTGGAATTATCCATTATGCTGCTGCTAAGTGAAAAGAACTAAAATATTTCATTTATAATTTACATGAAGCAACAATTATTATTACAAAAGTAAAAAAGACTGAATGTTCTTTGGATGTTGCTGGTGTGTTTTAGCAGGTTGCTATTGTGTTTTCAACTATGTTTTATTTAGTTTTTATTTTATATTGGACATTTTTCAATTAGATTTTTTATTTATGCTCTAAAGTTTAAATTAATTTAAATGTATATTCACATTCCTGAAAAACATCTGCTTAATAAATGCTCTAAAACAAGCTGACATTGTTTTTATTTAGCCTTTTTTTATATAAATACTTGGTCAGTTAGTTAATTGATTTGTTTGACTAACTTTGGTTACATGTTTGGTTTTAATACTGAACAGTGCATAAAAATAAAGGTCATCAACATTGGGTTAAATGTTAAGTTCAGACATTCTGTCCATCTACTGTTGTCATTAGTTACATTTAATATGCAACTTTAGTGGAAAACATCTCGATATCGGCTGTGAAAACCAGCCAAAACAATCAGCAGCACATATAGGCATGACCATGACCTTGATATCTAAAACCAGCTATCCAATGCAAACATCAGTGGAAATGGAAAGTGCCCCTTTTTAAAATTAGATTTTTTGAGCATAAATATAAAATATCCTACTTCCTGTCTAAATGATGCCATGCTAATGTGGTCACGCAGGCTTTTCCTCAGCAGCAAACTTGCACCCAGTCATTAGCAGCCTGTCCCTCCAGTCCAGGCCCAGTTAGTGCTGCCAGTTTGTGTCTGCATGGAAACAATGACAGGCCAGTGTGGTTGATAAACATGCACCACCCACTGGAGGAAAGCTAACAGTAGCTTTTCCATTAGAGCTTAATCCAGCATGGTCTCTGATAACCAGGAGAGTCTAAACAATCTCAGTTTGGAGCATCATGACAGAAAGGTTACTATGGACGAACGAGCCATTACATGTACGTGGGTTAGGGACAAGCTGGTATTCAAATAATAAATCAGCTTCAAAAGAATTTGTTTCCGTAGGGTTTTGAAACCGCTTTATTCTTAATTTTTTTCACTAAACACAAGTGTGTTAGAAAAAATATCTCACTATTCCTTCATGGTTAAGCAAGTCTGATTTTTAAAGCAGTATTTGGTAAAAAGAAATGGACTGAGGAAGTAAATTTAAGGTTTAGCTGCAGGCAGTTTGCTCCACTAACGACTCTTTTGAAGAATCAAGGTGTGACGGTACGTCTGCCAGGACTGGGAGTTTATTTCATTCAACAAAAAGCATATTTGTAACTAAAAAAGACCAACCACCTCACCTTTATTTACTCACAAGCCGGCCTACCCACCGAGTGAGATGAATAAAAGTGAATCTACACCGTCCCACTGAACGTTTTTGATTTTACATTTTACAACCCACTACATTAACAACACACTGGTTGTTTTACACCTAACACCGGTCATTAAATCACTTCCTGTTGTGCCTACAACCACACACCGTTTTCATAGTCGAATGTAGTTTGTTGTTTTGTTTATGTCACATGTTTGGTTACAGCTATGATGGAAAAGTACAGTAACCTACAATATGTAAAGTCAGCATAGCTGAACAAAGATATAGTGATGCAATTATTAGACTCATTCTTCCTGATCTACTTGTTGATGCTCTGGATGGTTGTGAAATGTTGCTTAATGAGAAAGAAATGAGTTTCATGTGAAAGCAGCTCGTGACAAACCAGCACGCCGGCTAACAGACCCTTACTAATTACTGTTTAGTGATGTTTGCTGACAGCGTGTCATCACCCTACAATTAAAAGCAATTATCTAAGGTAAAAAAGATCCAGAAACACTAAACATGTAGCAAGCTAAAACCTTAAAACATTGAATTTCCCCCCAAAATAATCATTAAATACACATTACCATTACAACGATCTAAAAAAATGATTGGTTTTGTTATTTTGTAAGAGAAAAAAAGTTATTAGTTAGCCTAAAAATGATTTTAGAACAATAAACGTTTAGTAGATATAGTCACAATGTATCATTTTAACCTTCTTTCAAAATTTCCTTTAAATTACTTTGCAAATTTCAACAGCAAGAAAGAAAAGATGGCCATTTCCAGAATGCATAAAAAAGTGGGTCAGATCTCCAACAGGGTGGTGTTTAAAATAAAATAATCTACTGAAAATTTTGAATAATCTGTTTTTTGTTGCAATGCATCATAATTTAAATTCAAATATTTTTCTGATGTCTGATAACTGGATTCGCTGACAACGACGAACCTGAAACACTGATCTAAAATTACCCATGACATTATGACTGGCTCTGACTGGCATTTGCAGCAAACTGCAGTAAGTGCACAAACAAAATTTCTACCGTTATGGATTATTTTCTACCAGTATGTTAGGATTTGAATACTCTCAGTTAATATGAAGTTTTACATAATCCCTGCAATAAAAATTTCCAATCTTCTGGTTAAAAGTACCCAAAGATCCATAAGATTGATTTCATATTTACTGTGGAATCTTATGGTTCATTAAATAATATGGAAATTAACCCTTTACAACTGATTGCTGCAACATTGGAATAAAACAACTTCATCTATCTATCTGATTATGAAGGGAAAGTACACTGTATCTTTGTGAAAGACCTAGCAATAGCAATTATTTCAAAAGTATTGTGACACAGCTTTATTTCAATTATGTGGCAACCCTTAAATTTTGATTCTCTAAGGTAAAGACTCAGCTGTGATCTAGATATTTGTCTTAGTACTGATCTACAAAAAGTAAGATATTATGATAGTGGGACAACAGCTGCAGCCACGTTAGTGTGAAGAAGTCATAAACATCTGTAAAGTCTTTTAGACTGGCAGGTAATTGTCCCAAAACCAGGCAGAAATGATCGTGCTGATGTCCAGATGTTCATCTGACCACAAGTATCTAGTTAAATGATTTACTGAAGCAAACTGTTCATGTCTATAGGCCTGGGCATGATAGAAATATGACATATGCATACGACCAGGCAGCTTTCCTCTTAAATCAGCTGTTTTGGCAGTTAGAAGGTTAAAATACATTTGCGTGGTAGCCCATGGAAAACACGTATTTGTATTTGTAAAGCAGACATTAGGGAAAGAGACAGATTGATCTCACAACTGCTAACTTAACGTAAACAATACAAGCAGCAAGCTATCTACCTCCCGAGTCCCCAACAGCTGTTTGTGTCGCCGCCGTTTTAACAACAGACACCTTTGACATGTCAATTTATTTACCAGACGTGAGACAGGTGGACCGGGGCTAAACAGGAAGTGCCCGTGTATGAGAGGAGAACAGAACAGTAAGCTTAAGCTAAGTGTGGCTAACGCTAGCTCGAAGTCCAATACAGTTGGCCACTATCATGTTGAGAAGCTATACCGCTACACCCCACTCGTCTCCGGAGGAAAATGCCTTTAGGCAAGAGCGGAAACAACACTACATCTCTGCCTGCACGTACTTATGCATCAGATAGGATCGTAGATATCGATTACAAAGCTGTCAACTCACTTTTTTGGCGCTTTGTTGATTTGCTTGTCAGAATAGTTGCAACGAAGATCGTCTGTGTTTAAACAGATGATTTACTCGGGGTTAGGCACAGGTTTAGCAATACGTCTTCCGGGTACAGGATGGGTCACGCATGCGCAATAACGTCTCAGGTCCAAAACGTCACACATGCAGTGCACTCGTGTGCGTGTTTTTGGAAAAATGTATTAACATAAAATGAATTTCATATGACGACATTATTTAAATAAATAAATACAAATTAGTCACAAACTAAATGGAATAAATATAAATGTTGGCGTCAATTATATTCATTTACAATTAATCATCCATCACTGTGAGTATGTTAGTCAAAAATGAGGCAAACGTTCAATTCAAGGAGTTACAAATCTTTAATTGTCAAAATTTGACATCAATTGGCTAAATATTACAATTTTTGTATTTACCACACACAACGTCTTTTCAGTCACGATTTTGAAAATCATTCTTTAATTTCTAAATATAACATGTTAAGTACATATAAAATAGATAGTTACAACAATGCTAAAATAAATCAATGACAAGCTGTTTCAGTAGGCAAAAATTCAGGAAATGCCAGTTGTACATTACAGAATGCACCCACCAAAGGATTTTTATGGATCAATGTTATTAATAAACAGTTTTTTAATCATAGAGAAAAAAATTGTAAGAAAAGGAAAACAATTACAGCATTCAAAATCATTTGATGATTTAGTCTTGAAAAAGACGAAAATTTGAAGTTTCTACTGACAGATTCATTTAATTTCTTTTACTACAGAGGGGAAAAAACTAGTGTCTTTTTGCTAACTTGAGAATCAACGCCGTCTAAACACATTTTCTAACTTGCAAGTCATGAGAACTTATTGCACCACTTATTTAGCTTCAATTCCTGAATTATGCTGTACAGAGAAATAGAAAGACCAGAATCACAGAAACTATGGCAAGCAATGTTGTGTAAAAGGAGTACTGAAACAGATTTGGTCACACCAATGAGAACACCGTTTGTGACACAATGTAAAAAAGATATTCCATGGGTTTTAAAGAGCAGTAGAGAGTCAGTGTGTAGACAAAATAGCACAAAACTCATGTTTAAAGCCCAGCGTGCATCACTCCCCTTCAAAAACACATTGGCATTGAGAGATTGCTTCTAAGTGGATATTTACACAACTTGTTGCAACCGTGTCAGTAAAAGAAAGTTCTCTTCCAGCATCCCACTTTTTGGGCTCAGGCTCTGTCACACTTCCATAGTCCAGTTTTTTTAATGCGTGTCCATCTCTCACGTCTGTGTTTGCAGTGTTTCTTAAATATATTCAGTGACATGAGAATGTATGGAAAGGAGATGGCTGGAGATGAGATGTTTGCTGGAAAGCTTGCATAGAGAACTCTCCAGATGTCCCCACCAGCACACTCTCTGTTACTCACCTAAAAAAAGATATATCAACCTCTCTTTTTGCTTGTTTTTGCAAAACTGCTATGAGTTTTACTTCATTACATTTCAGGAAGATATGCAGCAAAAATCAAACATGAAATAATTTAGCCCTCAGCAAGAAAAGGTACAATAACAGTCGACAGGCTTCTCCTTCACGTGGGAGCATAAAGGGATATGGTTCATCTGCTATCTGTCACTAAAATGTTACTTTTTGTGAACATGAATAAGATTTAATGTTATAATTTAATTTAAAAAAAAGATTGAAAGGGATCAGTTATTTTATTGCCCGCACCTGGCAAAGAAAATTCCCAGTTTAATCCATCATAAACCAATGTTTCCAGCCAGATTTGACATTTGTGGTTGTCTCGATGGTGGTGCTGGTGTGTTGAGAGAGAGGGAGAGGGTGGTGGGAACATGAGGCGGTCACACCTCTGTGCTGATGGCTCGGGTGTTGGTGTAGAAATCAGGAGGGCGGCCCCGCGGAGCGTCCCTCAGCAGGGAGCCTCTGATGGCAGGCAGCGGCATCGACAGTGCCTGGTTGTCGTAGTGCGTGGGCATGTAGGTGACGCGCTCGCCGCCGTTACGCATCTCATCAGTGGTGCGAATGTAATAGGGTGAGTTGTAGGGTGAGCAGGTGGGGCAGTAGCGGCGTTGCCCCACAGCGGCAGGTTGGGTGGGGTTGAAGGATTTGGGCGGCTCCAGCGGAGACAGGGACAGTGGGGTGATGATCGGTCCGTCCAGGCCGGTGATGCTGCAGGCGTTGCAGGCAAAGTGTTGCTGAGAGACGGAGCCACTGTCAGACCCATTCTTCTTACAGCAGTAGTACTACAGAGAAAGAGGCTCATTTAGAATTTTGGTTTCATTCAAAACTAAAAAACGATCATAATTTAAAAATGTGATTTACTCTGCAAACTAATACATCTACTAGGAGGACCCATATATAATGTTTTTAGCCAATTCAAACATTTGTTTTCTTTGATGTTAGACTGATCGTTAAAGGTATGGCGCACTTGTTTAATCAATACTTTTGCAGTGGTCTCTAAAAGAAAGGAAAGAAAGAAAGAAAGAGTAGCTTCTGATGACAGGATTTTGAGTCTTACATCCTGATATTCTGACATCTTGCCTCTGATTGGCTAACAGCAGCACAACTCTACCACTGACTCAGTTTGATGTTTTATCTCCACAAATAACACAAGCTTGGAGGAGTTCTACTGTGTGGTGGAGTTGCTAATGCAAATGGTTAGCTTCTACTAGCCGAAATGTTATCTGCTGTTTCCTGGACGCTAAACCAATAACAGCTTTTCCTGTCACATGACTGGTGAGCTCATGAATGTTAAATAACAGAGTGACATCGATCTGTCAGGCTTTTCTAATCCTAGATGTTCACCAGAAGCTATTAGAAGCTAATGCAGGAGGGAGGTGTAGGAGAACATTTTCATGTTCAGCCTGAATGTTAAACTCACAGTGACTGATTATAATCAGAAAAAAGATAGACATGTTTCTTTCCAGTGTTCCACACCTTTAAGGTTAAACAGTCCCAGTGTTTATTGCCATCTAAAATAAACACATTCGTCAAAACGCCTGACTCATATTTCCAATTTAAGCTGATGTGTTTTTATTGTGTTATATACATTACACCCCGTTTCTTCTGAATTTTACATTTCTTCCAGCCTTGTTATGTTTCACAACTTAGCATCAGATTGCTACGGTTTCATCAAACATTCCTGTCGGGATCTTTGGTTCCTTATCAGTGTCTCGTCTTCATGTTTCTTTGTACCATTTATATAAAAAAAAATCTATTGTTCATTCCCGTATCATCTCCTCCGTTCTGCAGACTTCCTCCTCAGTCTTAATGCCTGCCCGTTTGTCTAGTCTGCATCTGGAAAAGTGGTGCACTCATGAGAAGTCTTACCTGGAGTCTACAGTAACAGAGCACGGCTATGATACACAAAAGTATCACTGTGGCCAGTATTCCTCCAGTTATGACAACAGTTCCAGCTGTCATCCGACCAGCTCTCCATCAAACTCTGACAGGGACACAGGAAGTGACATCAGCAGCAAGGTGCATGTTAAAACCACACTAGAGAAAATATAAACTTTAGCATTTATTATTTTTTTGGGTGGAAAACATGTTTTAGTTTCCGTTTCAGTTTTTTTGTTTTGTAATTTTCCTCCAAAAGACAAACATTACAGAAATAATGCAAATATTAAGTGTTTGTTTATCATAAAAGGAACATTTTTCATCAAAAATAATGCAAACAGGCATGCTTTACTTGTCTAAAACAGGCCTTTTAAAAAATGATCTTTCTATATTTTTTCATTTTTACCATTTATTTTATTATTGTGACAACATCCAATACAACAGTGTCAATATTTTAAAAATTACATTTGATACATTTATGAAAAACAAAATGTAAATAAAGGATATCATCACCACACTGAGTCTGTGTGTAACTGTTCGTGCTGATACTCACGTTCAGCAAAGCTGCTTAACACCTGCAAAAAAAAAAGAGTGAAATTTAAATGAAACCCACAGGAACGTAGTAATTAACGTGCAAGTTAGACAAACTTACATTAGAGGAGTGTTTGGATGTTATGTTGTTTTAACAGCAGCCTGATAGCAGGGGTTGCACAACGAGAATCACACCAGTAGAACACCAATGAGAGCAACTGGGAAGAAAAGGAAAGTGGGAGAGAAAAAGAAGCAGATAATAGTTTAATTAAAGTAGCACTTCCTGTCTTCCTCCACAGGGTGACATCAAGACATCAGAAGAACATTTGGATGATGCTTTGTTAAATTCCTTCAGAACATCTAAGAGCGCTGAGCTCAGAAAGGGGAGGATATATTTAGAAATAAAAACACTGACAATTACTGCACATGTGCAGATCTCCAAATCTTTAAAAACAAAGCCATGTTGTTGACCAGTGTGTCTCTTTCACCCACACAGACACGCGCGCACCATCAGATGACAGATGCAGTAAATGTGATTTATCAGCAAGCGGCACAGCTGATTGTAGTTTTACTGTAGTCTGCAATCTGAGGCGTGTCCAGGAAGGGAAATCTGTTACTTCAGATAAAACACATGTCTGACCTGAGACCAGTGTGGAGGCTGGGAGCTTAGTGGGTGCAGCAACAGAAAAACAAAAGAAAGTCAGAAGAAAAAACAAATGTGACTGATTGAGTATGATGTGATGAATGAGGTTTGTCAGAACTCTGATGGATGAGCAGAACAATCCTTTGTTAATTCGGTAGTTCTGATCCTCACCTGCCTTCAGTCAGGGCTGGAAAATCTGAATATTTATGGATGTTTATGCAGAAACACAAATAAAACACCCTGTTTGAAGTTGGATTTAGAGTAAATGTGGTCATCTTGTGATCCACATCAGTGCTTCATGACATATATCTTCCAGTTGGACTTAGAAAGTTGGTTTAGCATAAATATTAAGTGTTAGCTGCTATGGCTAGCTAGATTTCTGCAGCATGTAACCATACAATTCTATGTAAATAGAAGGCTAAACCACAACATACAAGTTATGAATTAGCCTTTGCATGAATTTACATTACACTTGATGGCAGTGATCTACTTAAGCTTGGTTCACAAGGTAGACTTTCATAACTGTCTGAGAGACCCGACACATGTGGTGACATGAAATCATGGATGTACCAGGATTTGTCTCATGGTGTGTTGTGTGTGGCAGCACGACAAAAGCCACACATGAACAGACTTCACACACAAACATTCCACTATCAGACCAGAACGATCACTAGATCAAACTTGAATTTGGATTAAACAAACGTGATGCTCATCCAGAGGTGTGACCAAGTCACTGCTTTGCAAGTCACAAGTGAGTCACAAGTCTTTCCAGTCAAGTCTCAAGTCCAAGTCAAAGACAACCCAGTCCAAGTCGAGTCCAAAGTCACTGATGTGGAAGTCCAAGTCAAGTCCAAGTCCTTAATTTTGAATTTTCAAGTCACAATCAAGTCATCTGTCCAACTTTAATTTAATGACAATGATAAAAAATAAATTCCAGAAATAAAGCTTCTTAAAGTTTAATTTATTTGCTCAAACAAGCAGAAAGTGCAACTGAAATTGATTATAAACAAAGTGCTGCTGCATTTAGCGATACAAAATCACACCCATAACGAAGAATGATTCGTTATTTTTGTCCATGTCGTGCCACTTTTGTGCTAAAATATCAAATGCGCTGAAGTCATCATCAAGTCAACAGATGCAGGTTGATTCAAGTCGCAAGTCATTGGCGTTCAAGTCAGAGTAAAGTCGTAAGTCTTTATAGATTTTATCAAGTCAAGTCAGAAGTCAATAAATAATGACTCGAGTCTGACTCGAGTCCACACCTCAGTGCTCATCCAGAAGGCTTCAAATGAAGGCAACTGGACTTCGCTGGTTTCTTGAAGACTAATCCAAGGAGATTTGTCAATTTTGACTGGAACATGGGAGAGTCAAGCTCATAAACTGTAGCTTTCTGTTGTTCCTTAATGAGCTGAAACTACCATTGAAAACCCCTCCTCCCTACCCCCGATGAGTCATTGATGTCATTATTCCCTATTGTTTTGTTGTTTTGATTAGATGCAAGAGGGTGTGACCTTGAGTCAAACTGTTTTGAAATCAGGTTTAGAGCTGCATTGTAAGTGCTGGAATGGTGAAACCTGAGGTCTTGCCTCATGTTTAATGTCTTTGATAGCGTCCTTTACTCCTCTCTCTAACCATCTATCTTCTCTGTCCAGAATGTACACTGTCATCTTCAAAGGTGTGGCCCTTGTCCTTCAGGTGTAAGCGGTCAGTCTAGGCCACACTCTCTTGCATTTAATCAAAAACAACCAGTCAAACACAAAAGATAACTAAAATAAATTTGTCAAGTTTTAGTAGTTAAGTAGCTTTTTTTAACCCTCTCATTGTCCTAAAGGGTGTGACTCCACAAGGAAAGTTGACCATTGAGCAGGGTTGATGGTTTATACCTTGGGTCCATGTGGCAGGGGTGAGGAGTGAGCACCACCTCACCCCTGCCACGTGGACCTCAAGGGATGAACCACCAATCCTGCTCAATGGTCAACTTTCTTTGCGGGGTCACCCATAAAGACTGCGGGAGGGTTAAGTGAAGACATTTGGGCTTACTTGTTATTTAGACTTTGCCGTTAAGGCAAGATGGCGCCAGCATGTTGGACAGCTTATCTGTCGCTCCCGCTGTTGTTATGGTTTTACTTGTTACTGGGATGTTTTTTCTGCAATATTAGCTTATAACGTGTGTATAGCCGTGGGGCCCTGCTGCGGCTCCAGCAACCGGCTAATTGTTTGTCACAGCCTTATGAAAATGGACATGACACATCTTGTCAGCGCGTGGCGGTGAATGAAGCGGATGCAAGGATCCATATGCGGGTGAGGGAAGCAGGTAAGCAGGCACACAGGAATGATTAAAGGTTTTAATAGAGAACACGCTAACATAGAAACAATGATCCAACAAGAGACACAGAACTGAAGGGGTTTAAATACAAGAGGGCTGGGAGCTTGGGTGATTGGAAAACGAGAGGCAGGTGGGAGCAATTAACAGGGACACATGGCTGAACAGAATGGGGAGACAGGACAGGGTGTGACAGTATCCCCCCCCCCCCCCCCCCCCCCCCCCAGGGCGGATTACAGATGCCCATAGGAACACAGAGCAGGGCGGGAGGAGGGGGACCCGGAGGGAGGGCCAAAAGGGACAGAGGGGCCGATGGAGAGGAGGCAGGGACCAGCAGAGTCTGGGGGCCTGCGTCTGGGGCAGAGGAGGAGGTGACGACGGGCTCTTGGGGACCTGCGTCTGCGGCAGAGGAGGAGGTGACGACGACGGGCTCTTGGGGGCCTGCGTCTGGCGAGGGCAGGACCGGCGGTGACTGGAGGCAGAGACGCTGGAGGAGACGTCCTTGACTTTTGGACTGGAGGCGGTGGTGACGACCTCTGGGCTGGAGGCGGCGGCGGCGACAACCTCTGGGCTGGAGGCGGCGGCGTCGACCTCTGGGCTGGAGGCGGTGGCGTCGACCTCTGGGCTGGAGGCGGTGGCGTCGACCTCTGGGCTGGAGGCGGCGGCGTCGACCTCTGGGCTGGAGGCGGTGGCGTCGACCTCTGGGCTGGAGGCGGCGGCGTCGACCACTGGGCTGGAGGCGACGTCGACCACCGGGCTGGAGGTGGCGTCGACCACCGGGCTGGAGGCAGCGTCGACCACCGGACTGGAGATGGCGTCGACCACGGGACTGGAGATGGCGTCGACCACGGGACTGGAGACGGCGTCGACCACGGGACTGGAGACGGCGTCGACCACGGGACTGGAGACGGAGTCGACCACGAGACTGGAGACGGCGGAAACGTTGGACCGGAGGGGACATCGACCACGGTACTGGAGGGAACGTCGACCTCTGGACTGGAGGGAACGCCTACCTCTGTACTGGAGGGAACGTCGACCTCTGGACTGGAGGGAACGTTGACCTCTGGACTGGACGGAACGCCGACCTCTGGACACGAGGGAACGTCGACCTCTGGACACGAGGGAGCGTCGACCTCTGGACATGAGGGAGCGTCAACCTCTGGATACGAGGGACCGTCGACCTCTGGACACAAGGGAACGTCGACCTCGACACGAGGGAGCGTCGACCTCTGGACATGAGGGAGCGTCAACCTCTGGATACGAGGGAGCGTCGACCTCTGGACATGAGGGAGCGTCAACCTCTGGATACGAGGGAGCGTCGACCTCTGGACACGAGGGAGCGTCGACCTCTGGACACGAGGGAGTGTCGACCTCGACACAAGGGAGCGTCGACCTCTGGACATGAGGGAGCGTCAACCTCTGGACACGAGGGAGCGTCGACCTCTGGACACGAGGGAGCGTCGACCTCTGGACACGAGGGAGTGTCGACCTATGGACACGAAGGAGCGTCGACCTCTGGACACGAAGGAACGTCGACCTCTGGACACGAAGGGACGTCGACCTCTGGACACGAAGGAGCATCGACCTCTGGATACGAAGAAGCGTCGAACTCTGGACACGAAGGAGAGTCGACCTCAGGGGCGGCGTTAGGCCCGGCTACTTGGGCTGAAGCCCCGGATGTTTCATCATAAGCCCCGGATCTAAATCGCGGAAGTAACATGCAGTACCAAAGTCCAACAGAGAGGGAGCAGCTGGCAGTAGTCTGTATACAGCCTGCCTGAGCCTCCACCACTGAAGAAGAAGCCCTTCAGCAGCCGGCTTCTTCTACACTCTGCCTGGAACGCATGAGTGAAGATGGACATAAGGACGTTTTTTAGACAAAAAAGAACAACGACAGAACCCCAGCTGTGATGAGACTGCTGTTGACTCAGGTTTGTGAGTCTTATTTGAAAATATTTGTTGTGCTGCTGCTTTGCCTAAAGTTAGCTTATCAGGTAAATTGGTTGGAGAAAGAAAGGGAATATTTACTATCATCTCACACTAAACACTAACAGGAACAATACTCTGCCCTGAAAATGCTTAATATGTAGCTTCAGATTAAAAATTATGTGGTACAAGACATGTATGATGTTGACTAGTGCATGTCACGTGTGTGTGCGCGCGCGTGTGTGTGTGCGTGCACGTGTGTGTTAAGCCCCGGTTCTTCTTCAGTCCTAAATCCGCCCCTGGTCGACCTCTGGACTGGAGAGAGC